CCAGAGCTCTATTTGGCCCTAATAACTCGGACCAAGTCTTCCACGCCTCGATCGTGCCTTCCACCATTAGGGTTGATAGAGTTCAGTAGTGGAGAATATTGTTTAGTTTAGTTTTAGTGATAGTTGATATCCGTGAGACCTATATTTCGCGACTCCGGATCATTTTTCACTTTTACAACGTACGTATGTACGTACAAGCAGCAATAGGATGATTCAATGAATCCACGGTACAGCAGTATTTATATCATGTGAATAGTGATGTGCATTTGTATCACACATATGGAGGGTAGCAAAATTGACTGCGTAAAAATTTTCAGAAGGTCCATCATAGCATTGTACATCCATACTTTGAGTCATAGATGACTTAAAATATAATCAGGTTTGACGTATTGTAATTGCAAGAGATACGTTTGTCTTTAGCCAAGTCATCATAATTAAAAGAGCGATGTCTTGAGCCGATTTTAAGAGTAGTACAGTATTGGCTCGACAAGAAGAATGATGAGTAATTTCTCTTTGTCAACTATAACACTTTTAAAAGTAAAATTGAGGAAATATATCGAGATTTGATCATCCTATAAGTTTCCTCATACTTTCTCAATAATTTCTGCATTCGCAGTTTAATTTGACACAGGTGACAATTCTTATATTCTTTTCCAGCATCCTTTAGATTATACTTATTTGTACTCTTAAAAAATAAAGGAAAATCGGGAGTTCTATTTTTATTAGAAACTCTAGAGAATTCAATTATTTTAATTTCTGATTTAGTCATTTTTACAAGAGTAAAAATGGATACTCGTCTTCCTCAAACACATTCCTGCCATTTTTAGTCGGACGCCCTTCTTTTTTGGATAGATGCTCCATATAGGTTATTTATATGGTTATTAAAAATTTTGATCAAAAACCTAAATTTAAAGGGGTTTTATACTTTTAATGTGTTCATTAAAAATGTAACGTATAAGTGCTATTGTTTTTTAATTATTTAGTAAATATTTTTCTTTTAAAGTACATATGAATATATTCTTTTATGACCGCAAATAACCTGCACAGCTTATTTCAAATTCGTTCTATATCGGATTTTTTTTTTCAAGAACTTTGTGCGACACTAATAATCGATACACAAATAGCCTGTACAATTACAAAAAGTTTAAATCTATACCTCTTTAAAAATTTATACTTTTTATATTCATGAAAAATTGTTTATCATAATTAAAGTACGTACGTATATACGTATCAAAACTCTATTTAAGCAAAAACAATCGTTTATATGGAATGGTTTGGTAAGATTGCATATGTAGTATTTCATAAATTTTGCATTACCTAAGCGTTAATTCGTATGTATATATAACCAAATTATTTGTAAGCTGAAATGTATGCCTGAAAATTAACAAATTACATAAAAAATGTGGTCAAATAAAGATTGATTATAGCTGTTTGCTTTTCAGCGAAATTTTTTTTATTTGAATACAAATAAAGAAAAAATTCATCGAATTTGTTCAGGTGGTTACTGAGATATCATCGCTCAAAGTTTTTTTATATTTCTAATCAAATTCGATGAAAATTTTTTATTTGAATTCTATAGATCCGTAGAATTCAAATAAAAAAATTTTCATCAAATTTATCAGGTTGTTGCTGATGTATCTTCGCTCAAAGCTTTTAAAAATATCGTCTAAGCTGCGCCAAATTTTCCCAAAAATTTTGGGCGAAGATATCTTAGCAATCATCTAATCAAATTCTATGGATTTTTTTTTATTTGAATTTATGAATCGTTAGGATTCAAATAAAAAAATTCATCAAATTTGATTAGGTGGTTGCTGAGATATCTTTGCTCGAAGTTTTTTAAAAAAAAAATCAAAAAAACCAAATTCGTCTATAATACAAGAATGAAAAAATGTAGCGATTCCATGAGTTCTCGTTTATTTGAGCTAAGATTTTACAAAGTAAAATTTATATAGTTTCTAAAAGTCATGTTATTACGTAGTAATCATTTTTAGACTGAACTTTTCAAAATCAAGGTGGGTATCATCATATCAAAATAGAAGCTGCGCCATATTTTTCCTAAAACTTTAAGCGAAGATATCTCGGCAACTATCTGATCAAATTCAATGAAATTTTTTTTTATTTGAATTCTATTGATCCATAGAATTTAAACAAAAAATTTTATCAAATTTAATTGGGTGGTTACTAAGATATATTCGCTCAAAAAATTTAAAATAGCCCTTGGTTTATCAGTTTAAAACTGATAAGCCAAATGATCAGCAAATTTGACCAGAATTAGATCGGTTTGAAAAGTATATCAAAAAAATCGGCCATACGAATAGAAACTGCGTCAAATTTTTCTTAAACTTTGAGCAAAACGAAGATATCTCAGCAATCACCTGATCAAATTCGATGAAAATTTTTTTATTTGAATTCTATTGATCATTGAAATCAATAAAAAAAAAATCCATTGAATTTGATCAGGTGGTTGCTGAGATATCCTTGCTTAAAGTTATGGGGGAAATTTGGCGCAGCTTCTTTTTTGACATTATGATGAAAATTCATGGTGCCCACCTTGATTTTAAAAAGTTCAGTCTGTAAAATCTTAGCTCAGATGAACGAGAACTCATGGAGTCACTACATTTTTTCATTCTTGTATTATAGGCCTAATCAAATTTGATGGATTTTTTATTTGAATTCTATAGATTCATAAATTCAAATAAAAAAATAGAATTTGATTGGATGGTTGCTGAGATATCTTCGCTCAAAGTTTTGGGGAAATCTTGGCGCAGCTTAGATGATATTTTTAAAAGCTTTGAGTGAAGATACCTCAGCAAACACCTAATAAAATTCGATGAAAATTTTTTCATTTGAATTTTATGGATCTATAAAATTCAAATAAAAAATTTTCATCGAGAAATTTTGACGCAGCTTTTATTTATGATAAACATTGCATTTTTTAAAAAAGAACTTTCCCATTTGATTAAATTCGATGAATTTTTTTTTATTTGAATCCTATAGATTCATAAAATTCAAATAAAAAAAAAAATTCGCTGAGAAATCACACACAATCCCGCACGTACAATCACTTGTAATCGGGCATGCAGTGATCTACAAATTATATCAACAGTAGGCATGCTGTTACAGATAGAGATTTGACATAAACATATGTGGAAATAAACTAAACTCGTAAAATTTAATTGTTAAATCTGTTATATATGCACTTTTCAATTATATAATAAACGAACAATAGACATTCGCCAAAAAGCGGTACTAAATTTTAATTATTAGGAATTATGCTGTTCTCTTATACGTACATATGAAAATTTTTATAATAACTTTGTGTTATAGATTATTAATCAACTAGCTTATAACCCATTGCGTTGCTCCGGAATTAAATATTATTTTATATAAATTTATTATAAAAGTTTCTAAATATATAAAGCAAGTTAATATTTTATATATTTGTATATAATATATTATAATATAATAA